ATATATTTTTCGGGAAGCCTGAATGCCTTTATGTGAATTCGTTGTCCCGCACATTTAGTTGTCTTATGTCAGCTTTGCATTTAGGCGACGTTTGATCGGATTGCTACTATAGTTTGCAAATAAGTAGGAAGTACGTGTACCTGATCGCCTCGGGGCATTTGGATGAACTGTTCAACCAGTTCAATGCTTGCTTCATGATTTACGACAATTAACGAGTAATACAGGTAGAACCGTCAGTATCATAGCACTGAGAAGGAAGGAGTATTAACGAACAAAACGTGAGGGCGCAGGTGAGCTGGTGTAAGTTCATAAGAGTCCCGGGCAATTTTACAATTATGAAAGAGTATATTCACGGCATAAGAGAAATGGGCGACGTTTTTCGTAAACATTGTAGCACATTTCGCGATTGTTCTAGATGAATTCATGAAAACTTAGCTGCGGAATTCCATTCCATCCGTGAAATTCAGACTTGGAACTTAAAATCGAAACTTTCGAACTTTTCAAACTTCTTCTTCAAAACACAAAAAAAAAAAAAAATATTCGATTTTTTTTTTTAGCTTGAATTTTATATAAATTCTAAAAGTTCGTATCTGAATCTGCTATAGCGGCCGCCGCGCATGGAAAACGTGAAAGGAAAGGAAGGAGGCAAAAGCGGGGAACATAACGCCGTGGCGTGTGCAACGTCGTCGGCGAAGCGACCGTATCGGCAATTTTCCTGCACGGCCTAGGATTCCTTGCTCCTCACGCGCTCGATCTCGGCGAATAGCGGCGCGGCGACACGTGGAAAACAGTTGCGCAACTCTGGCTCCGGTAGGTTGCGCCATCTCGCTAGAGGGAAGCTCGCTTTAATCGTGACTAGTTCGGTGTCGGTGGACGCGAGCGGTCTATATCTCAAGTGCAAGTTTTCGTCGATTTATGCGTACCTTTTCAAGTAAAAGCATTTGTTAGCCAGTGCTTGGTGTTCTCCGTTTCCCGCCTTCGCATCTATTCGCGCTGTTTCCACCCTATAAACATAGTCACCGACTCGTCCGATTTTCCATTATGTCTACCCTTTACGAATTCTCTTCTTTATGAAAACAAGGAGACAACTCAAAATGCCCTTTTGAAAGAGTATTTTGGGCCATAAGCGGCGGGAGAGTGCGTGCAACGTGTGGGACACACGTTGCACGCACTCTCCCGCCGCTTATGGCCCAAAACAATACGCATCAGTGACGGAGAATCGCACGCACTGTTCACGTCGATGACGCAACAATTACAAAACACGGAAAAAGAAAAAAAAAAAAAAAAAACCAGCAACACTGAGCTGTTGCGTAACAAAAGACGCTAGCAAAAAACACGGACAACTTCCAAAAAGAAAAAAAAGAGAGAAGAAAGCTGTGCATTGGGTCGGAGCTTTTTGGAAAACCAAGAAAGCAATCACGCAATAAAAGGTGCGTAAAGTATTTTCAGTGACAGGAAGTTAACCTTGCTAATCACCTAAGCTCCTGCTTTCCTTCCGTAAAATGCCTGTCTTTATTTTTATTTTATTTTCTTTGGGGGGGGGGGGGGGGGGGGGGAGGGTTGGAACACGAGCAGGCGGCAATGCTTGTACGCCGTCCCCCCTCAGTCATTTTACTCTTAACTTTTTTTTAGCGCGACGCATTCGGAAAACAAGAAAGTCGCGAAGCCTTTTCTTCCGAGCGGTCATTGTTTCCCTCCAGCCGTCTGTTTCGGTTCGAGTGAAATGGGCATGCGCAATTACCGGCCCGTCAGGACGACGTCTCCGAAGACCACGTGTTGTCCCGTGACGTCACCGGAAGGAGGCGAGACCCCACTCGCCCGCGGTGTATAAGAGCGGGACAGTCAAACAAAGATGGCAGACGGCGACGGATCAGACGGCCACCGCAAGCAATGGGCCGCTGCCAGGAAAAGGTATGTTTAGCCATAGCTTGTCCAAGCAGAGTTGGCAAACAAAACATCGGTTAGAGGCTACAGTCACACCGGGCAAACAGAGGGTCAACACCGATCGCCAACATCCCTCAGTTTAAGCAGATGCTTGCAAGCAGAAACCTGTCAGGACCAAGTCGTAACAGTCGAACAGATGTTGGCAATCGGTCAGCTCCGATCGCCAACATCGCAAAAGCAGCCTTCCCGGAGGTCCTTACAGAAACCTTCAGCAGGATTACTTGTTCATAAACGCGCTATTTTGTCGCCGGTTGGTGGCGCTCAAGAGTAACAGGAGTTGTCATGTCTGAACAAATGGTGCTAGTCGCTTGCTCGTCTAGTTTTAATTGATTGCATAGATAAGAAAGTTGCCGATAAATACGGGAAGGCAAAGCGTATCTTTCCATCGCTTCTGTCCAGCATGAACGCGCTGCATCCTATGGTAATCCGGCTACGCCCGCGCGATCGAAGTACCATCAAAATTAAAGGGGCGCTGCAACGATATCCAATTGGAACGTTTTTCACTTTACACTAGCTTAGTGGCACTAATAGGACTCAAGGATACTCGCACGCAACGCCACTGGCCAAGAAACTCCTTTGTTGGGGATGTAATTTCAAGGACAAAAGCGAGCGTTTTTTCATTCAATTTCTCCTACGCGAAACTTGATGACGTAACTGGGGGATCGTAGTATCCTCTAGTGACGATATTCGAATACGACTCATAGATTGGACCCGAGCATTGCATGGGCACTCGATTTGGGCTCGTGATAATCGATGGCTCGAGAAGCATTCTGGAAGTGGCCCGTGTCCAATCGCTGCGATGACAACAATAGCCGAACCACAACAGTGTCTGGAACTCAGCGCTGTCCTGTGCCTTGCCAACCCCAGCGCGTGGCTATGATCAACATTGGCGGCCTATAATTGGTTCCAGATCACGTGGCCGCTTGTTCTGGCTGCGAGTTAAAGGGACCATGAAATGATTTTAAAATCGAATTTCATCCACCGCACGTCGTAAAAGGTGTGAAAAGGAACACAAAAACACAAGACTAGGGAGCCAAAAAAAATTATTTGCTATAGAACTTTTAAAAGAAAACTGGACTCTTTTGCGACATCTTTCCTTCGAAAGCTCTGCCTTTTCACTACGATGCATACGCAGAATCGGTGCACGTCAGCCGAATCTACATCGCCTATTGGGTAAGAGCCTACCTCACCAGCACCGCGATCGTAAACAATAAATAGCCGGCGAATGTTTCCTAAAAGTTTTGTTAAATAATATTCAGATCCACATTTTGTAGCATAATTAGAGATGTGTGGCGAAAATTGCCAAATTTGATAATGCTGAGAGCCAAGCGCCATCTATCGTGTGGTAAACGAAGCAACTACTGCGCGTGCGCAGTAGGGCAGGGCCAAGTTCAGAACGGTTATTTACATTGGTTTCCTTCCTCTCAAAACTCTGACTGACTGAACGTCTATTTTTCTACGTGTTCATCTCGCGCGTGCCGACTTCAAGCAGCAAGAAAGAAATGTACTTAAAACAAACCACGACGAACAAGAACGCTGGATCCACAAACACCCGAGAAGAGCGACAACAGCCGCGAATCCCGCTCCGACGAAACTCTCAGAATATAGGCCTAGCAGGCACTCCGACTCGGCGCAGCGTTGCTTCGTCGCAAGACCGTCTGCCTACGACCGGCTGGCGTACTGAATGGAATATGCCCGCGCTACCCTTGTGGACCCTTCCGTATTATAGTTTGATCGCTGACCTCAATTTTAGGTTAAGAGGTGAGGTCAATCTCTTCCCCTTGTTTTCCGAGGCAGTGTTGACGAACACTCGTCAAAAAGGGACCCTCGTCGATCCTCTCCTTGTTTTGTGTGATATAGAGTTGAAATAAACGCTGTATGGATTACCTTCGTAGCACGGTATGTACACTTTGTTATTGGTATGCCATTTTTATTCTGACAGACTGCACGTCACTGTCGAGCTGTAACAGTTCGTGGGAGGTATACGTGCAATACCGGTCCAACCTTTCTTTGCCGAGTGTCGCGTCAGTATCGAGTTGCAATTGTAAAAGATCGGTCCCGAAGCGCTTACCAACAGCGCGAATACAGCACTTCATCAAACGCGCGCGTCCGCTCCGAGTGTGAACAGGTATTTACGTGGCTCTTGCTGACAGTTCAAACGTATCTTTTTTAACGTCGGCTCGCTCCTGCATCTCCGAGACCGCGAAAAACGCCGCGGCAAATTGTTCCCATCTGCACTTCCCAACAGGCATACCGGCGTATGGGACTAGTCCCATGCTGTCGCTGTAGCGCAACATATCTCATTGAATTTCGTTCAGCTGCGATGCGGCGAGGAGAGGCGCCGATTCAGAAAATACGTCGGTGACATCGGCGCAGTAAAACCCACCGGCGCACCCCAACTCGCTAACGCTCCCATCTCCTACTGCAGAGAGAACTTCCGGTTCCGGAAACATCGTACGTCACGGCTTGTTTTGCGGTCAAGAAAAAGTCGATATTTCATTAATTTTTTGTGTAGAAGTTAATAAACCGAGACGAAAACGGATGCCTGTTCGGCATCCAGTGAACATTGACGGTTTATTGTAAAAGTTATGTGGAAAAAGTAAAAAAGTCATTTCATGGTCCCTTTAAGGGGATGAACGCTGCTCGTTTTCCTTTATTTTTTTCTGCGACTTCGATTGCGTGTGGGGAAAAACGAACGGGTGTTTCACAGCTCATTAACGTAAGGTATCCGTCCCAAGCGGCATTTGCGCAAATTACAAAAATCGCTGCATAGCCCCTTTAAACATAACTCATTCTGAAACTGTCATGACGAGCTGCCTTAGTTCGATACAAAGAGGAAACAGCCTGGACGTTCAGTAACCAGCGAGATGTGCTATCGCTTTTCATAACTTCCATTTGTAAACCGTAAGCTGTCATTTCAAAGAACTTCAGGAGGTCTTCCGTAAGTCTCCACAATCGGAGAGTAGCGAAATAATTTAAGCCATGGGTCCATGTAACACGCCGACTTCTTTTTAGACCTGGACGCTTCTGCTTCTGCTACTAGCCTCCACTCATGTCACCATCTCCAAAGAAACCGCCAAAGAGCCAGAAAGTCAAGCCGTAGCCGAAAAAGTAGCCGACACAAAAATGCTAACGGGAGACAGCAGTAATGAACTCGTGGCCTTAGAGACTGGCTATGGTGGGCACGGTGGGCACGGGGGCCATGGTGGTTATGGCGGCTATGGCGGACACCACGGAGGACACGGACACGGACATTCGGGACACGGCTATGGGCACGGCGGCTACGGACACGGAAACCGGCACTACGGCGGACACGACGCCGGACATTATGGAGGGCACGGCCATCATGGAAGTAGAGGGTACGGCGGGCACGGAAGCGGGCACTACGGCGGACACAGGAACCACGGATCGTACGGCGGCCACGGACAGAGGCACGGACACTGGAAGCACCACGGACAGCACTGGAAGGACCGCGGGTGGGGCCACGAGCGCAAGTGGGGCTGGGACAAGGGAGGCGGAAGCCACGGCGGCTACGGTGGACACGGCCAGAGCCACGGACACTGGGGTCATCACGGAAACCAGGGACACTACGGGGGCCACAAGCACGGACACCACGGCCACGACCACTACGGCGGACACGGGCACTACGGCGGACACAAGAGGGGACACTACGGGGGATCGCACCACGGACATGGTCATCACGGTCACGGGCACGGGCACAGGGGATATGGGCACGGGCACTACGGTGGACATCGCGGACATCACGGGCATCATGGACATCACGGCGGAGGCTACGGCGGCTAGTATCTTCTCTTTGGAAATGGGTAAGATTCTTATGATGCTAATTAAGTCATTGTCGCAAGTGCATAGTTGGAAGACATCTTGTTTAGAGTCTGTCTTTGTTGGTGGCTACGTGGTACTCGTGGGGAAACTATATCGGCGAGAGTGTACGCGTGCCGGAATCCTCTGGCGCACCACGACCATTCGATTCTGACGTTACTCATGCCGAAACGTGCGAGTCAATGGCGTCATCAGCTCTTTGCTGAACGCAGAACGCGGGAAGGGTGCACGGCGTGCCCACAGTCTCTTTCGCAGGTTAGGAACGGCCGCGGTCGCTTCTGTGAACAGTTTACAAGCATCGATGCACCATGCTGTCCGCTGCACCAGACTGCACGCATACTCTGGACGTTTACCTCCTAGACCCCTCTCGATTTATATCCTCAGTTGCTTAGTTTATCAAAATGAACATGATCTTTTTTTTTTTTTTTTTCTTTTTTTATGAAACGTTGCGTGGTGTTTTTACTTTGTCCTGGTACGTTGGTCCCACAAGAAACTGTCTGCATACGTGCTCGAATCAGAAATGTATGAAGCGAACATGCTTGTATGATGCTTAAGGCGCAGATGTCATCATGCCTGCAACGAACGCCGCGTCTTTTGGATGATGCATGAACTGCGTGACGGCGGCTTTAGGGCAACCATGCGCGTTCTGTAGCAAGTGCACGCGTTACGCATTCTAATCTCACGATGATTCTTCTCGTGTTTGTACAGGGTCATCTCACGGAAGACGGGCGAATCTCCTCACCGAGTCAAACAACATCACACTTCGGCAAACAAAAGAAAAAAGAAAGATGGGGAACAAGATATAAAAATAAGAGAAGTCACGCTTTGTCTAATTTATACGGGGTAATTCCAAACGTGCCCCGCTCTCCATCCTTATTAACAATAAAAAATATTAAAAACATTCTTCCTTACACCCAGTCTAACTATTTCTTAGTCATGTAAACCCCCCTCTTCCGCACACTTCATTACCAACGTGTCGACAAGGGAGCGAGCCATCTACGTCCACGGTACACAAGCCGGAGAAACGGGTGCATATATAACTAGGTATACGTCGCGAACTTTCGCCGAATCACACCGGGTTCGAATAATTCGACGAACCTTCGAAGTCTTGGAAAAGTTCGACTATGGCCAGTGCTGCGTGCCCACGTCTATGAAAATATTTCGACTTTTGAGAAAATAAATACTTTATAAAGTGTAATGTACCGTATTTTTTCAAATACGCATGCGCAGTATCCACATGGTGTGGGCAAACACGGTCTTGTTTGTAAGCTGTGTGTCGGTGCACATCGATATCACAGTACATACAAGCGGGCTGATCGATTCAGTTCCTTCGCTTATAAAAAGGTGCGACTTGTATACCTACATCCTACACCTACACCAGCTACCTAGCCTCAACTTAGACCAGCTCGCCTGCGGTGTATCTTTTCGTAAATATTCAAACCTTTTGCAACGATGTAAGTTATAAACCATAAAATACGATAGCTTTTTTTTTTTTTTTTATGGTTACTTGTGTTTACACAATTTCAAACCAGAGATATCTACTTTTAATGCCTTCGTTCTGCAAGGAGCAAAAGTACGCACTCGAGCTGGTAAGGAAACATCGGAATCTAAACCACGAGTCAAGGGTTTGGGTTATGATCAGTTAGTTTATTCAGGTGTACAAAATACATCTGCCAGGTAGCGCCAAGGGTTTAGATTATGAAATGCGTTCCATCACAATCATAATGAAACGAAAGTCCGTAAGAAATATAACTTTTCATAACAAACAAATAAAAGTTTATCAATGTGAAAAAAAAAAAAAAGAAGAAAAAATCTCCGCGAGGTAGCGTCAGCTCATCGTTATCGAAATTTGGCGCACGCGTACAGAACTCATACTTGAGTCGATTATTTGTCGAACTTTGCGTTAGAAGTTCGAGAAAACGAAAAACAGTCGAATTCCTGGGCAGGTTCGCAACAGCCCTATGTATACAACGACAAAACATCATGTTATAGTACTTGCTAGAGGAGAAAAAAAAAAATATATGTATAGACGAGCCAAGACCCTCGATGCATAGCAAACAAGCCCGAAAACAAGGATGGGGGATGGACCGGGAGGCACGTGATCAGACTGCAGCGCAGCCCGATCGTTAGTCCGCCGCCAGAGGTGTTCGCGGGAGAATTTGGAGAGAGGCTCGCTTTCTTGACCGGTACATACGCTCCCCGCCCCCCAATAACGCTACGAGCGCGGGTCAGCACGAGCTCTTCTTCGCTCGGTCGTCCTCGTGCGTGTGATCAGCGACTAGACCAATCACGGGTAAAGTCATGGCTTCCTATATACAGACAAAGCCTGGCAGGTCGCCACGAGAAGCGGCCGCCGAAATGGAAAAAGGGGAGCGGCAGACAACGGATGAGAGGAGAGCCACGTGACTGGCGCCCCGCTGCGGCGACACGCCGAAACACACTTCTCCCGAGCGAACAAGTGTGTTTCGGGTCGTCGCCGCTGCAAAAGCTGTGCGCTGACGTCCAGGTTCGCCGAGAAATGGCTTTTTGATGCTCTGTGCTACCAGATCCTCGCACTCCAAATCTGCAACCGGGCACTCTATGACCCTGTCGTTGAACTGCCAGGCTTTGTGAGTATAGACGAGGCTATGTTACCGTCAATGCGGCGTACTCCTAGGCTTTTTTTTTTTTTTCTGTACGTGATTGGTCAAGTTGGCGTCGAGAGAAATCCCACGAAGACGACGTGCGCCGTGACGCAGCACTTTTGAGGCTGCTTGATCAGCTCCATCGGATGGTGGCCGGTGTCGTACTTGAAACAGCATTCTCTTCTTTAAAAAAAAAAAAATAACATCCGCACGCACAAATAAAACATCGCTTAGGTGAGTATAAATATATATAAACAAATACGCGGCTAATCTCGACAAAATGACATCTTCAAATTCGGCCAGCTTGGCCGCCATATGCCAATGCTATATAGGTACTGAAAGACGATTCCAATCCAGCGATGTCATAGGTTGAAAATGACAATACATTAATTCCATTATGATCATGAATGCATTACCGTAGCCTACTGCGGTTGATTAAAAAAAGCGCAAGCGCGTAAACGCACAGTATGAAAAAAATAAATAAAAAAGCTTGAAGCAAAATTGAAATAACCTAAAGGAACTCACGTCACTGTATACGATAACAGTAAATGAAGCCAGAGAGGGTCATCTGGAACGGCTGAATTGAATGGATGAAGGAAAATAGCAAACAATTCTGGAAATACACGAGGCGCTGCGGCAATGAACCGCGGTATAGGAGATGTGGTGGTTAATAATGAAATAATTACCGGTGACTGGCAAAAAGCTGAAGCCTATTTTCAGTCAGGTTGCTTGGCTTCTGAGGACACAGGCCACGGCAGATGTCAGGGCACGCTCAGTGTATGCCGCCAGTTGAACTTGCTGTACGAGGTGTGTTGGAACCTCTAAAATCTGTAGATGAATCTAAGCCAGTAGGCCCACGTGGGATTTCACCGATAATTTTAAACCGTCGTGTAGATGCGGTTGTCCGATACCTTACTATAATCTATAACAAATCTTTTAACGATGGAAGGAAAGTGGAAACTGGAAAGTGGCCCGCGTGGTGGTGGTGCGCAAGAAAGGCGCCGAAAAAGAAGTTACTAGTTACAGACCGATTTCACTAGCTACTATAAGTCGTAAGTTATTGAAACACGCTTTATATTGTCACATCATAAATCATCTAAACTATCATATTTTGTTCTTTGAATCACAACATGCATTTCGGAAGAGTCTATCATGTACTACGCAACCGACTGAGCTATATGATGATTTGGTCACGGGTGTTGACAAAGGAGGAACGATTGATTGTTGTCTTAGACAATAAAAAAAAAAGCGTTCGATACGGAATCACACTCACTATTATTACACAAATTAGGGCTCCTATAACTTTGAGATGGCTATTCTAAAGTGTATACGAGCGTATCTAAATCATCGCGTTAGCAATGTGTTGTTGTAAATAGCAAAACTTCAAATTCTGTTGAGGTAACGTCCGGTGTACCGAAATGCTCTGTTTTGGAACCCTCGTTATTTTTAATATTCGTTACTGGCATTAATGACGATGTGCTGCGTTTGCTCGCGAATGACTGTGTTGTTTACACGGCCATAACAGATGAGGAGAGTTCCAGACGGCCGCAAGATGACCTAAACCGAATATAACAGTGGTGTAAAAAAATGCGAGATAGAATTAAACGAAAAAGAAAAAAAAATACCCCCCCCCCCCATATTAGTTTTACTCGTAAAACGAAACAGATATCAATAGAGCAAACAGTTAAGGGAACAGGGTAGGCCCTATTCTTCCCATGTGTTTCAGCCTATGTATGTGACCCTTTTTCTCAGGATCTGCTAGGGTTAGAGGATTCATGTTGGTATCATTGTATTTAGCTTTCTGTGTTCTCTTTACTGAACTAGATTTATTGTTATATATATTTTAGTTCTTTTTTGCTTTTGTTTTTACTGGACCCTTCTAATTTTATTGCCAAAATAGACAATAAACAGCTTGTCAAACAAAATTGCCTTGATTAATTTCCACAATTCTAGTTCAGTAGACTCCCCCTTGTGTTGTCTTGTTAGTGGAAAAAAATGATACTTCTAGTTTTTATGGTTTCGGAGAAAAAGGGTCAAACGTCGCAAAAAAATTATGTTTTGAGATAATCGACTTTGAAGTGAAAAAAGGCACTTTATAATAAACTTGCACTCTAGAAATGCATGCTGATGTATCCGTTCGGTAGCCACCAGCCAGGTTGTCACCTCCATAGTAAATATTTAGTTTCTTTGTTTGCTGTCTTGCTTTTTGGGCCTCTTTTGTGACGAGCTGTGTAGCCCTGTCTGCCAAGTAAAGTCGTCGCCGGTCAACGTCCCACAACCACTGCACCATGAATCATCCTGGTAAAACGCCAAGTAGAGGCTCGAAGTTGTCCGTTTTGACGTCTCTCTAATCAGTGTGTCCACCAGCACTTTTCACAGTTCAGAAAGTAGGTGCAGGCGACGCCAGCTCTTAGTGCTGCTTTTTTAACCAGCTGGAAGTCCCCACCACACACTTTGCACACCCAGCTTCGGCGACGGTACAGGACAGAAGGTCGTTGCCAATCAGTGCACAGTTGCAGTCACTAACACTTGCCTTGAGCTCTTCAAAGCGTGCTGCCGAGTGCGACAGCTTCGAAGAAGACGCACACGTGGTAGTCGCTGCGTCAGGCATCAGAATGCGTCGCGGGGACTCGGCGGCATAAGAAATTGACCTATGTCGACTACTCTGGAAGCAATGCTTTTAAAATATCTTCTTCGTCTTCGTCATTTTTAACATTCCAAACCTAGTGTTAAAGTAAACAATAAATTACCTTGCCCGTGGAAGCATGCCGAAGCAGAAGCAAAAGTATGCGCGTCGCGACTGACACCGGCAGTGTCTGAGGATTTATGGGGCTGAAAATTAAAAGCTAGACAGCTTTTTGCTGTTGCTGGACGAGCAATAAACATTCCGCTAAACTTAGTGAAAATCTGCGTTTTTTTTTTTACGGTTCTTTTACAACATAGGAGAGATACAGATCGTGCATAGGTGTAAAAGGGGGCGTGGTCGGTCACCACCTAGGTTTCGGAAAAGGTCATTTTTCCTGTAGATAAATCGCGCACGCTCAAATTACACAGTCAGCATTGTTCAGGAAAGACTGGGAAATCCAAATCCCTAAAAAACAAAAACTCAATTTTTTTCAAAATTTTGCCCTACCCTGTTAAATATCTAGGCGTCACGCTATCAGCGGACATCATTCCGAATGCACATATTGACGATGTTGTTATAAGGGCCGGAAGAGCGCTTGAATTTTTAAGCCGAAATTTAAATAAATCATCTAACGGTATCAAAGAGCACGCCTATCTTTCGTTTGTATGACCGGTTTTAGAGTACGCCTGCACCGTCTGGGATCCTTCTCAGCAAAACCACATTGTTGCACATGGAAGGATCCAGAGTCGTGCTACTTGTTTCGTTCTGGTGCTGTACGACCGTTTTGC